TACAGATAGAAATGTAGAGACTTAGATATCGAAATATTTATCTCACACTTAGTCTTTAGCAAGAAAATCATAAGATAGACAAGCCATGCTCAAGCTAGCATGAGGTATGTTTGAGTGATAGTGACACCATTTAATTGCATGCTGTTAGTTCCAGCATTGGTTAAAAGCCCACAAACAATAAGACATGCAAATCACCTATATATTTATATATGCATACATATATTTATACACACACACACACACACACACACACACACGTATCTGCCAGCATGAAATTGCTGTGTAAACATATTGATCTTGTGATGCTCTTAAGTTAGATTACAAAGAAGGAGCCATGATTTCAGGGACTGAGGATAGTCAAATGTTCTATTATCTTCTGTTGTTTAAACAATATCAATAATTGGAGGTTTTAATTCCACTGCTTGAGGATAACAATACACACCTCAGTCAAGTTGTTTTGGAACAAGAAAGAAAAACTAAGTTGAGCTAATATAACCAAACATTGCAATGACAAAAGAGATAATACGTTTGTAGGATAACTTGTTGAACCCAAGAATTGTAAGTGCAGGTGGACCTCACATGGGACTGTGAGCAAGGGAAAACGTTTTGTCTGCCCAAAACCTTCTCTACAGTCACAGTTTCTTTTTTTTTTTTTTTTTTTTTTTGGGGGGGGGGGGGTTACCAGGGATTGAACTCGGGGGCACTTGGCCACTAAGCCACATCCCCAGCCCTATTTTGTATTTTATTTAGAGACAGGGTCTCACTGAGTTGCTTAGCATCTCAGTATTGTTGAGGCTGGCTTTGAAATCACGATCCTCCTGTCTCAGCCTCCCAAGCCACTGGGATTACAGGCATGCACCATTGCGCCTGGCCCACTGTCTTTACTATGCTTGTGGCTGCCACTCCAGTTCATGCGCCCTCTTATTTCAGTGGACCCACCTAGACTATCAAGGAATCAAGAAATTCATGATAGATGTGACCAAACTAGGTCAGCCTTCTCCCCCTAATCAAATCATCTGTGTCTGGGGAGCAGAGTCAAGGAGCATAGGAGCTGCTGAACCCACCCTGCCCTCCTCTAGGAAAGGAAGGTAGACAATGTTTAGAAAAGGGGAGCTCACGAGCTAGGTGTGTCCCAGCACATGCCTACCTTATTGTATTTAAATAAAATTCAAGTAAGATTTGAAAGGAGTTAATCAAAACAAATCTTATGTATAGACCACATAGTAATTCTAGAGTAATTAAATATTGTTTTATTGCATAATATTTGCATTCTGTAGCTTTAAAAATGACACGTAATGGGAAATGCTGTCCTTGGAGTGTACCTCAGTGATTGGATTCTCTTAAGAAGGAATAGATAGGTAGGTAGATAGATAGACACACAAACACATATATGTGCATGTATACGTGTATGTATACTTTTTTCAAATTGACAAAAGCTTGTGAGAGTTTGAAGCTTGTTTGGCTTAATCAAGTATTCAAGAATTTAGCAACACTACAGAAGTATTGCATATATAAATCTAAAAAACAATTAATTTATCTCAATTTTGTCTTAGCCTATGGTAAAGGTCAGACAGTTGCCGAAAGGTCCAGTGATCCTGATGGATCTGATGTCCATCTGTGTAAAAGCAGACATTTTGCAAATGTCCCAATCTTCATCATGGTAAATCAATTTAGAAGTCATTTACCTCCTTTCAATACTCTCCTTTCTGAGTCTTCCAGCTACTGCTCCATTGAGCACTGAGTCACCATGTTTCATGGATACACATAAATATCTACTTAATAACCAGCACTTATCTTTTGGAGATAGATTAATCAGTGATCCTTACATTGCGTGCAGTTTTATCCTCTAACTCACAGTATTGATTAATTCAGCATCAGACTATTGACACATCCCATTTACCTGGGTCCACATCCTTATGCTAAATGTAAAAAGAGGAAAAACACTTTTGAACCTCATAAGTTTTTTTGAAAAGGAGTTAGAACAAATTTACATAAACAGCAACTCAAAACATGCTTTATAATTATAGATATAAGCAGATGTACATAAAGATAAGAAGTGCTGACAGGAAATAAAAATAAGAGACAGAAATATCCAAGTAACCAAACATTTTTATCCTTCACTAGTGTAGACTAATAGTAATCCCTCAAGGCCAATTTGGTCCAGATAGAATCTTCCCTGGAAGCCTCAGTTAACAGAATCTGAAAGCCTTCCCACAAACATTAGAAATATGTTTTTCTCACATAAGAAGGGTTTTTACTGTATAATTGCTTGCTTTTGATCTTAACCTATTTCTCTTTGATCACATATTAACAGCAGATTTGAGAGTGTACACATTTTTCAGGACTTTATATGTAATATCTCATTGTGCTGGGTTTCTGTTCGTGACTAAATGGCTCAGAGGTCATTCCAGGTAAACTGGGCTAACTGGGCTGTGCAAAGTAACCACACAAGAGACACAAATACCTTTTTCTTTGGGGTTGCTGTGATGGCTCCTCTGACTTTAATGGTCTGCAGGAATAGAGAGTGAGCATGTGCTGACCCCTTTTATTGAGGAAAATCTATTCAAATGAGGCAAGGGGTCAGGTTTCAGAGGGCTGAGTCTATCTTCATGATGTCCACTGTCAGCAGGTTGACTGACACACGGGTAGGCCACACCCAAGGGCACAGTAAGAGAAGGGGACACACACAAGGCACTTATATGGAACATTCTATCCTAAACAGGGCAAGGGGTAATATTACAAAGGAACAGGTGAGTGCAGCTCCACCCATGGGGCTGTAGGAAGACACGTGCGAAGACACAGTTACTCAAACCCTAGAAGAGCGAGGCAGTCTAGCAGCATGGGTGCCTGATGCCACATCACCCAGCAGGGGAGTTAACTCAGTCACTTGCAAGGTTGGTCTCCCACATCATTGAATCTTTATAATAATCTTCTTGTACACATAACTGAGGCCCTAGAAATGTTGTTACTTGCCCAAGATTATCCCCCTACTGTTATGTGCGCGTGCGCGCACACACACACATACACACACACACACACCACATACATATATGTGTGATTCATCTATATTCATGCTTTCCACCACATGAAATTGAGAAGGATGATTTATCCAGTGAATAGTTGTAAAACATGTCTATCATGACATTCAATGTCATTACTGTATTAACTCACAATTAAATACAAAAATTCCTCGTGGAAATAAAATACTAGAAGACAGAATATATAATTTCTAGATTTGGCTTTGATATAAACTAGCCATGGGCTTTGGGGCCAAAAATAATATCTGCAGGCCTCAGTTTCCTTATTCCCATGTACCTAACCTCTCTCCACATCCCCTTCACTCTCCATGTGCTGTCCCCTTGTATATAGTTTATTTTAATAAGAAATAACAGATATAAGTATAAGTTAAATATTGCCCTTAGTTATTTGTTGCTCATGCTTGAAATCTAAGATTCAGGATAGTAAATACTTTCCCTGTCACTTTCATTCCTGTATCCTCACTGGCTTGACTGATTTTTGAAATTTAGTAAGCACTCAAATGTTTGTCAAGTGAATTACAAAAAAGAGGTAGTGTAAACTGAGAAAGAGAGGCCACAAAATCTATTCCATTATTTTTTTCTCCATGCAATCAATTTCTGTTTCCTATTCTCTGACTCCCACTGGGACTCAGACTAGGGTCATTTTCACAATTATCCCCATTCAATGGAACAGTGTATGGCCCTACCTGTGTTAGGCCCTCAAAGAATAAAAATTGTCAAAAACAACACAAATAATAATAAATGCTGGTGAAGATGTGGGGGGAAAGTACACTGATACAGTCATTGACAGGATTATGAATTAGTGCAACCCCTATGGAAAGCAATATGAAGATTCCTCAAAATACTAGTAATGGAACCACCATATAACCCAGCCATCCCACTTCTCAGTATTTATTTATCAGGAAGAACTAAACTCAGCATACTATAGTGATACAGGCATATCAATGTTTATGGCAGCACAATTCATAATAGTCAAATTATGGAGTCAGCCCAGATGCCTGTCAATAGAGGAATGGATCAAGAAAATGTGATATATATACACAACAGAGTTTCACTCAACCAGAAAGAAGAACGAAATAATGGCACTTACTGGTAAATTAATGGAAGTGAAGAATATGTAAATAGGTTAGACCCAGAAATTTAAAGGTTGGATGTTTTCTTTCATATGTGGAAGCTAGAACAAAATAGAGGAAAAGTGGAGGGAAAGATAGGATAATATAAAGATAAAGAAAAGATCATTAATGTAGAAGAAGGAGATGGAGAAACAGAGTAGAGGGATGGGTAAAGGGAGGCCATGCAGAATGAATTCTTTAAAAGACATGTTATGTGCATATATAAACATAACAGAGAATTTTACTTTTATGTGTATGTAGAAAGTACCAATCAAAAATAAATAAATAAAGGAACAAAAGGAAGATCTGTAGAACAGAGGAGGGAGAATAAGGAATGGAAGGAGGGGAAGAAAAGCCGGAGAAATGAGGATTGAAATCAAATTTCATGCGGGGGTGATTTTGTCAAAATGAACCCAACTCCTATGTGTAATTATAATGCTCTAATTTTTTTTAAAGCCTAAAAACCTAGGGCCTTTTATTTTGTTGTCATCATGAATTGTTCATACGGGAAGCAAATTTGAATATCAGTGCACATTTCTTCTAGGACAGATTTACAGAACAGTCACAGAAGATTATAACTGAGATTAAAACAGGGAAAATTAAGAAAAATAAAAGATACATAAGTAAACTAAATGTTTTCTTGTGTTCCTAGACTTTTTAAGTGTGCTGAATTTCTTGGCTACATGAAAGAATGTGTGTATGAACTAACTTTAAAAAATCACATCAAAACAGTAATTATTAAGTAGATCCTAGGCCTTTGCTGGTCCCTGACTCTTCACGCTTAAGCCAAGTAAGTTTGTGTCCTATGCCATTAAACCAGAGCCTGTTCATTTTTTGTTTCCTTTCTTAGTCTGTGAATTTCTGGTACGTGCTTGTGATGAATGACGAACACACAGAGAGGAGGTATCTGCTGTTTTTTCTTCTGAGTTGGGGCCTTCCATCTTTTGTGGTGATTCTCCTCATAGTTATTTTGAAGGGTGTCTATCATCAGAGCATGGCACAGATCTACGGACTCATTCACGGTGACCTGTAAGTACACTCAAGTGGGCACGTTGCCTTCTTAGCTTTTCTGTGCCGGCAGCTTTCCCAGCACGCTGTCTGAAGCTCACTTCCTCTATGATTTCTTTAAACTAGAATCTATGGCCTCTCAGGTTCCTCTGATAGATGGAATTTTCTCAGGTGAGTTGGTATATCAAAAAGTTTACGGTAATTTGTACTTTAGCATATTTAGTTTATTAGGTTGAGTCAAATGATCATGTCTAGCAAAATCAAGGCATGATGAAAATTTTGATAATCAGCAAAAAAAAAAATTTTGGAGTATGGATATTGTTTAAAGAGTGTGTTTTCAGGGGGAGTTGAAGGTAGCAGGCATCATAAATACAAAAAAAAAGGTATCAAAAAGAATGCATTGTCTATATACTACATGAGGAGACAATGTCTTTCTCAAATGTTCCTATCAAAGTACCCTTGTAATCTTTGAAATCCAGTGCTCCTTTATACACACATATGTGTGTGCTTTAACCCAGAATCAGGCATCTTATAGCTTTGAAGACTGTTTAGCCTCTGCTTTATTGATTCTGCATGCAGGGAAAAGCTAAAGCAAACATTTGTAATAAAAAAGCTTAACCAGCTCCCTTGGTTTCATGGAAATAAAGGAAAAGTAACATTCTGAACAAGAAGGAAAAGTCTATCCATAATTACCTAATTATTTCATGGTGGATTGTGAAGATAAAACTCAATTAGTGGATGTGAAAAATCTTTAAAAGGTAAAATAGTATACAAGCAGAAGTCATTTCACTAGTATTAGTGTGTCTGATCAGTCATATACTTAACAAATACCTCTTATTGATGTATGCACATGTATTTCCCATTTAGGCAGTTACAGACACATACTCTACACAACATTCAGCCAAAGCCTAGCTATGTAAAACACACATTTAAACTCGTGCTGATATGCTATTTTTAATCATTCTTTTCATTGAGATTCAAGAAGATTTTCTTATGCTGATTATAGTATTATAATGTATTTTATCCATACAAAATTCTAAAAACCTGTAATCTTATAGAAAGAAATGATAGTGTCTTTTCAAAATTATTATAACTTTTCATATTCTACTACTATTGACTATTCTCTGACATTTAGATCTTGGGCTGTGTGGATTGATTTTAGAAAATTGTGCATCATTCTTTGTTAAATACAAAGTAAATGTGAGGCAAGCCCTGGTGGCCAGCAGCCCATTCCTTCCATGAGTTTCACCAATTCTTTGGCAAAGCAGGGCTCATTTGATGACAGTTTTATTTTTACATGTGTCCCCACCCTGCCTTGATAAATGAGACGAGATGGAAGTGATATTAACTCAGAGAAACTCTTGATGCTTCTGAAAGGATTGCTACAGGGAGTACTAAACAACCATACAAGAATGTCCAGATAACTTACTCTTAAAATATTTGCTGCTTTAAGCTTTTATAAGATGTTCTCTATGACAAACTAAATTATAATAAGCAAAATGTAAAAAGATTTACATTAAATTCTATCTGGTTTTAATGTTATGGAATTATTAGACCCAAAGTGACTAGATTCTATATTATAGCTTACTTTTCTACTTAATTCACATAGAATACTCCTGTGAATTTATTTGTGCTTCAAAGGATCCATATTTCTAATATCACTTCAATCTCAATATAAGGATATAAATTGGCACACTATTTGTATTAAAGTATTGTATACCTACATCATCATTTTAAAGAATGCCACTTCTCTATAGGTAATGCAAAATTTATGCTTCTGTGATTTATTTAATAGCTCATCTTTTGTGCAGAGGTCACTTTGTAGTTGTAATAAATTTCCCCATAGTGAAGAGATTTCTCTAAATCGCTAATGCATTAATATATGTAAGGTGTTATTATTAAAAAGGGTTTGTCAAATTTAATGCCGATCACATTTTTAAGAAGTTAGGGAGTGACCCTTCTTTTTGTATTAGCAGAACAAGACTGTAAATCTGTTGTTATTTCTTCCTTAGTAATAAGACTACTCACAGGAAGCTAGCCAGGTCTAAGGTTTTCTTACAGAAAGACTTTTAATTATATATTCATTTTCTTTAAAATATATACAACAATTCATCTTTCCAATTTCTAGTTCTTTGTTAATTTTGTAAGTTGTCTTTTTTCTATAAACTTTTCCATTTAACCTAACTAATCAAAACTTTTATTTTTTTTAGTACATTACAGTCATATATAATAGTGGGATTCATTTTCACATAATCATGAATGCATGGTATATAATTTGCTCATTTCAGTATGCAGTGCTTCCTTTTTCCCTTGTCTCCTCTCCTCTACTGGTTTTCCTTCTATTTTACTTTGATTGGTGGATTATACTTATGTATAAAGGTGAAATTCACTATGGTATATTCACATATGTACATAACATAGTTTGGTCAATTCCATCTCACAGTTTCTCCATTGTTTTTAAAGTTCTGTGATCTGTAGTGATATATTCTTTTTCATTCTTGATATTGATGATATGTATCTTCTCTTACTTTTTTCTCTCTTTCTTGATCAGTTTTTCTGGGATTGATCAATATTGTTCTTTCCCAAGACTAATTTTGAACCATGCAATATTGTCTATTATTTTTCTTTGACCCATGAGTTGCTTAGAAGTACATTATTTAATTTCCAATTTTTTTACATATTTGAATTTTATTTATTTTTTGCATGTGTGTCTGGTTTGGGGAATAAATATAGAAGTCAGGCTGTCAAAGTTGAGCATGAATGACTATCAATTCCAAAGTTCTAAATTAATCTCTCAAATAGAATGCTTGGCAGCACCAACTCAGCCCACATAACTTTAAGAACTCCTTGTGAATCATTCACAGATAATTTCTTAATCATTCTCAGAAGAATGTTTGTGAAAGAAATATCCAGTGTGAACAATAGTTCTACCCTTCCTGGTGTTAATAGTACGCCCCATTAAATAGTATTTCATTCTGATTCACCCCAAGGGAACAGAAAACATCTCTTTGTATGTACTTGAAGCAGCGCTATGCTCTGAAAGAAGAATTTGCATGGAGTAGACCTGACTGCATCAAAAATGTTTCAAAGAACAAATAATTATGGAGTATCATTTTAGGTTTTATGACAAAAGCATAGTTCTAGTCCTTAAGATGCTTGTAATATGTGAGAGCAATTCAAATAAAAAATTATGTATCACCAATGACTACTGCCAGACTTGAAAGGCCCCAGATCCTGTGAAAGATGGTCGTGTTATTCCACACCATCTATTTTGGTTATTTCTTAATTAGTCCTTGAATTCTTTTTATTATTTATTTATTAGTTCTAATCAGTTATACATGACAATAGAAAGCTCTTTAATTCGTTGTACATAAATGGAACAGAATTTTTTGCTTCTCTGTTTGTGTTGAAGTCACACCATTCGCACAATCATACATGTACCTCGGGTAAGGATGATGACTGTCTCATTACACTATCTTTCCTACCCATTTGCCCCCTTCTCCCCTCCTCTTTGACCCATCCAAAATTCCCCCACTTATCCCATGCACCACCCGATATATGCATTAGCATCTACTTATCAGAGAAAACATTCAGCCCTGTTTTTTGAGATTGGCTTCTTTTACTTAGCATGATATTCTCCAACTCCATCCATTTACCTGAAAATACTATAATTTTATTCTCTTTTAATGCTGAGTAATATTCCATTGGGTATATGTATCACAGATTCTTTATCCATTCATCTATTCAAGGGCATCTATGTTGCTGCCACAGTTTAGCAATTGCGAGTTGTGTTGCTATAAACTTTGAAGAGGCTGTGTTACTATAGTATGCTGTTTTTAAGTCTTTAGGAGTCGGATAGCTGAGTCAAATGTGGTTCCATTCCAGGTTCTCTAAAGATTCTCCATATTGCTTTCCAGATTAGTTGCACCAATTTTCAGTCCCACCAGCAATGTATGAGTGTACCTTTTCCCCCACACCCTCACCAACCCTTATTATTGCTTATGTTCTTGATAACTGACATTCTGACTGGAGTGAGATGAAATCTTAGAGTAGTTTTGATTTGCATTTCTCTAATTACTAGAGATGTTGAACATTTTTTCATATATTTGTTGATCAACTTTATTTTTTCTTCTGAAAAGTATATGTTCAGCTCCTTAGCCCATTTATTGATTGGGTTGTTTGGTTTTTTTGGCGTTGACTCCTTTATATATCGTGGAGATTAGTGCTCTATCTGACATATGTGTGGCAAAAATTTGCTCCCAAAATGTAGACTCTCTCTTCACCTCATTGATTGTTTCTTTTGCTGAGAAGAAGCTTTTCAGTTTGAATCCATCTCATTTATTGATTCTTTATTTTGTTTCTTGTGCTTTACGAGTCTTGTTAAGGAAGCCAGGGCCTAATCTGACATGATGAAGATTTGGGCCTACTTTTTCTTCTATTAGGCACAAGGTCTCTGGTCTAATTCCTAGATCCTTGATCCACTTTCAGTTGAGTTTTGAGCATTTTGAGGGATAGGGGTTTAGTTTCATTTTTTTTATTTTTATTTTTTGCATATAGATTTCCTGTTTTCTCAGCACCATTTGTTGAAGAAGCTATCTTTTGTCCAATGTATGTTTTTGGTGCCTTTGTCTAGTATGAGAAAACTGTATTTATGTGGGTTTGTCTCTGTGACTTCTATTCTATATCATTGGTCTACAAGTCTATTTTGGTGCCAATACCATGCCATTTTGTTACTATAGCTTTGTGGTATGGTTTAACATCTGGTATTGTGATGCCTTCTGCTTCACTCTTCTTGCTAAGGATTGCTTCAGCTATTCTGTGTCTCTTATTTTTCCAAGTGAGTTTCATTATTGTTTTTTCTATTTCTATAAGTAATAACATTAGGATTTTAATTGGAATCACATTGAATCTACATAGTGCTTTGGGTAGTATGACCATTTTGACAATATTGATTCTGCCTATCTAAGAGCGTGGGAGATCTTTTCCTCCTCCTCCTCCTCCTCCTCCTCCTCCTCCTCCAC